AAAAGGCATGAGATAACACCTAAAATAATCAAGATCCAGCCTTGCCTTTCCCCAAGTGCCTCAAGCTGACAGGCATCATACCATTTTTCACTTATCGCTTGCCTGTCATTGATTATATCACCTACCTCCCCTCCCGTCCCATCCATCCCCACCCCAAACTCACACACACAAACATACACCAGCAGGACTGGGGCCTCTTACAGGCCAGGGAGCACATGGCCTTCAACTCTGTTCTCTTTGCACAGTGCACATATTTAGGAAATGACTGTCAAAGGATTTTCATAGCCAATAGGTTTTTTAAATTAGGAAGGACTGTTCAGCTTCAGGAGACTAAAGTGGTCTAATGAAAGCCTATATGTAATAAAGGCTGAAGACATGTTGAAGACAGCTAATCTTTTAACAGTAGATCCATGAAAAACTTCAAAGCTTTAAGGCAGTGAGACAAAGAAAAAAAGATTAAATATTAAATTATAATTGCATTATCCCAACATTTAACAAAAGAAATTAAAGACAAGTAAGTGTGCTTTCTCCTCTTGTGACTTCAAGCAGTTTGCCTTCCTCATTGCTCTTTGTTAAGCAGTTGACAGGTTCCTAGCTGCTGTCAAGGTCAAAACTGAGCAACTTCTTCCACTTCAGTTATAATGGACAAAAACAGAACATGTTACAGAATAATCCAAAAGCTCCTCAATTCTTCCACAGTCACGTTAAGGGAGTAGAACATGATATATTAGCCGTGAGTAAAATAGGTCAAGTCCTCACCAATAAGGCTAGGCCCATCACAAACTTTCCCAGACAAGGAAAAAATGGATTTTACAATGTGTTTTATTTCAGCTCAAGTTTCCCCTACCCATGGAAGGCCTAGACTGAGCCGTCCTTCCCATCCTCAGATGGTACCAGTATATCCTATATGTTGGCGTCCCCATCATTTCTGTACACCCAGCACAAATATGCACTCACGCTTGTTTCTTGAACACGCCAAACCAACACATTCAATTAATAAAAAAAGGGAAAATCGTTTAGGGAAAAACCTATAGTCAGTAATAAAATATACCCCAATTCAGTCTCGCCCCTGAATTGTGGTAGAATTACATTGGGTCAGTGCACGTTTGTCAGATAAGTCCATTTCCCAGTGAACCGCCCACCACAGTGCTGATTCATTCTGTTTAAATATAAAAAGAACCTTCCAGGAGGAGTCTGCATAGCCCCATCCTTAGGAAGCTAAAGTCTGCACTCAAGATATCTGCTTTTTCCTTCAGAGCCATCTTTAATGATGGTAAAAGGCTTTTTCTTTACTATATAGTTCTCTGTTAGCTTATTCATTTATACCCTGCCTTGTTGACTAAATTGCTAAAAGGATTTAAATGATTCATATACATATATTAAAAAGATTAAAAGTTATTTTAAAAAGCAGATGAGAAAAAGCAGACTGTGATAAAATGGTAGGTAATATAGGAAAAGAACAAGGTTTAAGGGTGATACAAAACATCATTTTGAAAAATCCTAGGTATCCGTTAGAATGTGGTCGTATGTTTGGAACTAAGCTTTCTTTTAACAGTTAGCTGATGACTTAGCTGAAATCAGTTACATGAACCATAATGTATATAAAATAAATGGTTCCTCATGAATGGTTTCTCATGAAAAGCATAATCAATCATTCAGAATATGGAGGAAGAATTTCTTCCGGGGCTCCTCATGAAGGAAACACTAAAAAACAGACAATAACAATGATAATAATAGCTAACAATTAGCACTTACTTATGTGGAAGACACTGTGCCATGAGCTTCAGACATATTTACTCATTTAATAACCCTACCAGGTAAGTACAACTAGCAGATAAAGAAATTGAGGAACATAGTGGTCAAGGAAATTGCCCAAAGTTACACAGCTATTAAGTTACGGATTTACGCTTCAAACCCCTAAAGCTGGCTCCAGTCAGCATTCTTCACCACCATGCCATAGTGCTTCTGCTGTTCCAATAGCAAGTAAGCAAAGCCCTCAACAACATCCTTACAGTAGATATCACTTTTATAACAATGTTTCTCATGATGTGCTTCAGTAAAGGCCAACAGAAAAACACAAAGCTTAGTGCAGGAGCAGAAATTTCACTGAGACCAAAACCCGGGGGTCCAGGAATATTGTCTCTGACTGATGGGATGTTTGGGATATTTAGAGTCTCCAGAAGAATAGGTGGCCTCAAACCCTTCAGGCTCTCCTTCCTGAATATATCCCCTCCACAAAGGTGTGGTGCACATAGAATGGCTGAGTTGGGGGTCATGCTCTCTGAGAGAAGGTGAGATGCAGCTCTTACCTGCTGACAGTTAAGGCTGAACCACAGGCTAGAGTTGCCACCTGAGCTGGAGGTAGGAGAGACACTGTTCCAACCAAGGCTGAGGACCCTGATAGGAACCCACATCTGCCCAGAGATAAGGTCAGCCTACCTTTACGTGGAGGTGAACCAAGGGACTACTGATGGGCAGGGCTCCCTTAAAAAAGGATTTGGGTGGCTCAAAATGAGGTCCTCAAATGCCTACACCACAGAAAAGGCCTCAACAGAGCTAGTCTGAATAATAACCAAAGACGCTATAATACATTGTCAATCATGACCACAGCAAAATTATGGAATATTTGGCCATGAACCATGTAATTTCTTGGTGTAGCACCATGACAAAAGGGTTGGGAAGTACAACCCCAGGGAGCTGAACGGTCAACTGCCCAGGAGAGATTAGTAAAGATGAACCAGTCATTATTTGGAAGAAACTACACACACACACACACACACAATCACACCTTGGCTGTAGAATGAGTAATTACAACCTATCTTCTCAGTGGCTTCTCCAAGTTTAAGTTCAGGACTATAAAACTATTTCATTAGCATTCACTCACTAATTGAGCATTTACTATAGAGCCAAGCACTGTTCTAGCTCTTAGGGACAGAACAGTGAATAAAACAGACAAAACCCTAGCCATACTGAAACTGATTCCTCTTGTACTACAAGTAGACTTCTAGCAACACTACTAATTACTATTACTATACCTATGCTATTATTCCGGACAAAGAGAACGTCAGGTGGAAACACATATTATTAAGAAACTGCACAGGACTAAAGAAAAAGTGTACTGCAGGACTTGCAGGGCTAAAGAGGGGGTGGTGGGAGCCTCACTGGGAAGGGGAATCAGAGCGAAGACCTGGAGAAGGCCAGACAAGGAACTGTGCAATGCCTGGGGGAGATGTCCCAGGAAGTGGAAACCGCATGGCAGCCTGGGTGGCCAGAGCACAGAGAAGAATGAGGAGAAAGAGAGAGAAAAAGAAGCAAAGAGGTAAAGAGGAAGAAGCAGGGAGAGGTCGGTAGTGCTGGAGACCACTATACGGATTCTGCATTTGACCCTGAGCAATGAAAGGTTCTGAGCAAAGGAGTGACCCTGCCTGACTTTCTTTTCCAAGGCCCACTTTGTATGCAGCATAGAGAGGAGGCCACAGGGGCAAAGAACACAAGAAGTCCAGGGTGGACTGAGAGGGTACACCTTTCCCGCCAGCAGCACCTTTGCCACACACATGGTTCAACCTGTTGGTGCAGGTGAGGGTGGTGGGCAGAGAGCAGCCAATAGGAACGGCATTCCAGAAACCCAGCCCCAGAGCTCTGACTAAGTCCTTGGCAGGTTACTATTCCCTCATGCAATAAAAGAAAAAAGAAAAACAAGCAGAGTCTCTTAAAGTGAAGTTAACCAAAGACAAGTCAGTCTGGCCTGAGGCAGCAGAGGCTTGCAGCACGAGAAGGGCATTGCCATTCTGGGCCAAGGGGGTCCTATGTTGTCGGGTCGTGGACACGCCAATGGGACAGAGCACCAGAACAGGCTGGTTTTTCTCATCTCTGATACCAGTTGCTCTCAAAAGCATATTCCAAAATATATCAGAGCTTAAAATATTTACCAGTTAATATAGCACCACTTAAACTCCATACCACACATAACACTGACTTCCAAAATGCATCCAATACCTCAAACGATGCTCTCCTTTCATCCTCCTGAGTATTTTGAGTGCTAACGTCACATACGCCTCTCCACAAAATGCATCCTCTCTCTGGGCTCCTGCAAGGCTGGGACGCCCCAATCTGATCACAAGGTGCAGATGGCAAGCCAACACCCCCTCCTCAGGCTCAGATGGCAGCCTGCCAGCCAGGAAAGGTCTCAGCGTCTCTGCACGCCTCGCTGTACCGAGCAGCTGCTGGCAAGACTCACGGAGAATCTCACATGTGTTCGTCCCCACTCATTTTGACAAAAACTGTGATAAGAACAGAAGGAAAAATGGCAAGGCAGCCCGAGGGAGGAGAGCAATATGTAGTTTCCTCGTATGCCTGGTGCTGAGAAGGCCATGAAGAGGCACACCCATCTGTGACTTCTTCGTGCCTTGTAAAGGGGCAGGGCATAGAACTCTTGTGTCAAACTAAGGTTCCTTTTATTCTCAAGACCCTTCATCCACAAACATAAGTAGTTGCATTTTCTTAAAAATAAAACTCTAAATATTTGTCTCATATCCATTGCAGTTTTCTTTCATGCTCCCTTTAAATTCCTCCCCCTGAATCAAGGACTGACCACAAGTCTTTAGTAAGAAAATCTTAGCCAAGGAGAAGACTAGGATAAAAAGGGAATGGATAATTCACTATCACTGGGAGAGGGCTCACATGCATAACATCCTAAATACACACTTTGCCGGGGATTATTTCTGGGACTATACCAAGAACGTGTAAGCTCATAAAGCTACCGTAGAAAACTATTCTTTAATAAAATATCATATACTAACTCCTCTCTCTGTATATATTTAGCTTTAATACATGGCATTCTCACACATACAAACAGGTACCTCATAATTTAAATTTCAGGCTACTAATTACTCATTTATACATACAACATATTGAAATAAATAAATATATTTGCTTTTACACAAACACTAGATTATTCTAACACCATTAAACTACTTGTTATTAAGAGAGACAGCATTTACCAGCCAGGAGGAGATCAATAGTTCTGAATCTTCTTTTGTCCAATTGTATGCTGTATATTCAAGGGCATTATTCTCTCCTTGCTGTTTGCACATATAAGCGCAGTTTCTCTCAAAGACGGTGCGGATGCCTTTAAACAGAATCACACTAGTAGTGCAACCCATCCCCAAGGTGTGGCTGTTCAGATTTTTAGCAATCTCTACTCCGTTTCCACATCATCTTCCTTGGCTCTTCAGAAACAGGCTCCCACTGTACCATCTTCATGACAAGCAGTCACCAGCACTGGAACAGAAGGGAAGCTCTGAGCTGTCGTACTAGAATCCGCTCCTGCCCAACTGCCTGACAAAAAAATCCAGGCTCCGAGTGTAAAACAGGAGGGGTGGTGCAAACCCAAGATGACACACCTTAGATGCACCAAAACCTTTAAAGTATCATTTTTCCAGCGGATTGCTTCACTGTTAATACAAAATAAGCAGAAGATTTACATGTGGTTTCTGGAAAACTGCCGGCTCCTGTGATTTGCTTGGGATTGTTCTGAATCTCAGAACCTGCCCAAAATGAAAAAGACAGTGCCAGACAGCCACACTGCTGCAGATGCTGCAGGGAAGCACAAAGAATGTTCATCTGCTGCAAGAAATCACTCTCCCAGAATGCTTAGCCTAGCATCTATACGAGCAAACATCTCTTTCCTTGACCTAAATATGCTGTTTGTTTAATCCTGCATCAGCGAGGAATAGAGAAGCAAAAGAAAAAAAAAAGTCCAAAAAAAAAAAAAATGAGTGGAATCGCTAAGATGACTGCTGCTATGGAAACACGTGCAAGCCACTTCAAACAACCTTTTGCATGTATGGGTAACAGCTTGCTGACAGCAAACCACAAGGGAACACAACATTGCCATGTTGATCTTGACTTCAGCCTACCTCTACTCTTTGCTAGAGAGGGCTAGCAAGTTTGCACTGCCTCAAAGATTCTCCCATCTCTGGTATGCAAATATGCAAATGGGAACATGGATAAAAGGTTACCCAATCTGGCTAGATGTATGCCTTCTGAATCAGCACTCCAGGATACAATGGTAAAATACATGCTCAAGTTTTGCAGTCAACATGGTTATTATTTTGGTACATAAGTAATCCAAGTCCTTTCACTGCAGACTGAACTCAGTGACGCTATACTATGTGAATCTTTGGGAATGGCTAAAAAGGAAGCTTTTCACTGACATAATACCAAGCTGACTCCTGCCATTTTCCTTCCTAAAAAATGAAAGGCTAACCATATAAAAAGACCACAACACACACACACAGGAAAACCCCTCCTGCCCACAACACACACATAGGAAAAAAGTTCCCATTCTTTTAAGATCTGCTCTGATATTATTCCTTATTTCACAAGGTAACAGTTTTCATTCTGTCTATAGATTTCAAAGTCAGAGTGAATTGTAATGATTGGGTACCTGGGGGCTGGTAATGGAAACCTGTGTGATGTAGTAAAAGCACACCTATGAGAACACCATCCAGTCACATGATCCCAAAATGTGTTTTCTATGGCTAGTTTAGCCACCAAGTCCCAGAGAAAAGCAAAAATCCAGGCTTACTCTCTCTCTTGCATTTTTATGCAATGTGTCTAACTGCCATGCAAGATCAAAGGGGTGGAGATACCAGCACATGCACAAAACAGAGTAACTTTATGGGGTCTAAAGCATTCTATTTCCAAATGTGGTGATTCTGTTTAAATAGAGCTACAGGGTTAAAGATTTCATCCCAGTTCTGACATCAGAAGATATAACTCTTCACTCGATATCGCAATGTTAGCAGATAAACATGGAAACTCATCTACACAGAACTGGAGACTCTAAGACACTAAACATATGGGTTAAATTGTCTGTTTTGAGAAGTCAGGAAATCCATCAATTAACCTAACTCCTGTACTGCAAAGGTAACATCTTAAAAAGCAATATAGTTCACTCAATATTAATAAAGATGGTACCTAGAAATTTAAAATTAATTTATAATTGTTATTACCAATTTTAGACATCCTGAGTTGCAGAAGCCAGAGAATATTATTTGAGATACTAAAGATTATGTTTGAACTTTACAAAGGATTATAAATGATAACCAAGCAAATTTCAAGCTGCTGGTGTATGCTATTTGGTTTACTTTTCAAACCCTCAGCATTTAAAACAAAGGTCTCAAATGTTCTCACCACAAAAAAGAGAAATAATGGTAACTAAGGTGTTAGATGTGTTAGGTACTTAATTGTGATAATCATTTTATAATATATATGTATATCAAATCACATTATACACCTTAAATTTATGTAATTTTATTTGTCAATCATATCTCGATGAAGCTAAAAATCTTTTTTTACAAAAACAAAATAGAAAAATGAAACAATGGGAGAGAATGGAACAATTTCCCAACAATCAATCAAAGGAAAAAGCAATGTTTTCTAGAGACACATTAACAAGATGCTATGGTTTGTGTCCCCTGAGTTCATGTGTTGGAAACTTAATTCCCAGTGAACAGTGCTGAGAAGTAGCACCTTTAAAGGTGATTAGGGCAGAGCCTTATGGATTAACGGCATTATCTCAAGAGTGAGTTAGTTATCTCAGGAGTGGGTTCCTGATAAAAGAATGCATTGGGCCCCCTTTCCTCTCTCAAGAGAGAGAGCAAGAGAGGATCACCTCTCTTGCTCTTCTGCTTTCTGCCATAGGATGATGCACTGTGAAGGCCCTCACCAGATTCCAGCACCATACTCTTGGACTTCTCAGCCTCCAGAACTATGAACCAAATAATTTTCTGTTCATTATAAATTACCCAGCCTGTGGTATTATGTTACACCAGCAGAAAACAGAATAAGACATATAAGCATTTGAGCAACTTGTACCAATTTTATATATTAATCATTTTCCAACCAACAAAATTAGAGGGCAAGAGAAAAGCAACAGAAAATATTTAGAGGAAAGTATTCAACACAGCCAAGAAATTGGGCTTCATGTTAATAGAAGCATGACAAAATATAAAAATGCACATTTGGTTTCACTGATTTTTCTAAATCAGAATGATCTTGGATTGGTCTAAAATTATAATTGCTATGAATTTCATCAGAGACATGAATAAATGGATGGTATCTATTGGCAACCAGTGCAGCTACCTAAAGAGTATATATTTCAATTTGGAGATCACATTTACTCTCCCAGATTTAAATGTCGCCTCAAATTTACACAATTCCCAAGACTGGATGTCTGCTTTTGACTCCCTTTTGAGATGCAGGTCCATGGCTTCCTCTCTTGCTAATACCGACACCTGATGCTCCCATCACTGCCTTACCCTCAGATGTTCCAAATTAATTATCTTTTAATATGACAAACTCATACGGCATATCGACACAATGGAATGTCATTCAATCATAAAAAGGAACAAAGAACCTACGCGTGCTACTACATGAATAGATCTGAAAAACGTTATGCCTAGTGAAAGAAGCCAGTCACAAAAGACCCTATATTGTATGATTTCTTTTTTGAGATAGGGTTTCACTCTGTCACTCAGGCTAAAGTTCGGTGGCACAATCATAGCTTACTGCTTGATCTCACTCCTAGGCTAAAGCAATCTTCCTGCCTCAACTTCCCAAGTAGCTGGGACTACTGGCACGCACCACCTAGCCTGGCTTTTTTTTTTTTCTTTTTCTTTTTCTTTTTCTTTTTCTTTTTTTGGTAGAGATGAAGTCTCACTATGTTGCCCAGGCTGGTCTTGAACTCTTGGGTTCAAGTGATTCTTCCAAAGTGCTGGGATTATAGGAGTGAGCCACTGCACCCAACCTGTATGATTCCTTTCAAGAAATGTCCAGAATAAGCAAATCCATAGAAATAGAAAGTAGATTAGTGGTTACCTAGGGCTGGAGAGAGGAGGGAATAATGGAGTGATTGCTAATGGATACAAAGTTTCTTTTTGGGATAACAAAAATGTTCAGAAATTATATAGTGCTTCTAATCTATAGATATCTATATACACTGTACAGTCTGTGACTATACTAAAAACCACTGAATTGAACACGTTTATAGCATGTGAATCTAACAATAACCCTGACTCTATTTCTTATGTTTTTAAGCCTCATCCTCCTACATCTCCTTCTTCCCAACATCTGGGCAAGCTGACAGGAAAGTCTAGGTGGTTCCCTCTATGGCACCAGCAGGAAATTCAAGCCACTTATGAGAACTCTCACTCCACACTATCCTCCCTGTAACCACCAGAAAAACCCCAAGCCAGTCTCCCTTCCCTGTTCTCTCAAGCCATTTTAGGACTGCTTGGGATCTGCCCTGCTCTCCCTAGAAAGCTTCCTTATATGAGTAATAAACTTCAGTCTCAATATGTAAAGCACATTTTGGCTGGGTGGGGGGATCCATCCTGTTTCTGTGGAGTGGCCCCAACAGTGAATCCTATCTCAAGAAAGCTGTTATTAAGAATGGGGGAGAAGGCCGGGCGCGGTGGCTCACGCCTGTAATCCTAGCACTCTGGGAGGCCGAGGCGGGCGGATTGTTCAAGGTCGGGAGTTCGAAACCAGCCTGAGCGAGACCCCGTCTCTACTAAAAAGAGAAAGAAATTAATTGACCAACTAAAAGTATATATACAAAAAAATAGCCGGGCATGGTGGTGCATGCCTGTAGTCCCAGCTACTCGGGAGGCTGAGGCAGGAGGATCGCTTGAGCCCAGGAGTTTGAGGTTGCTGTGAGCTAGGCTGACGCCACGGCACTCCCTCTAGCCTGGGCAACAAAAGTGAGACTCTGTCTCAAAAAAAAAAAAAAAAAAAAAAAAAGAATGGGGGAGAGGGGAAGAATGGCATCTACTCTGCCCACCTCATACATTGTCAAGGTCAAATAAAATAATAGAAGAGAACTCAACCAAGAAATTGCTATAAACATATAAGTATCTATTGTTTTATACCCCACAAAGGATTTACTGTATAACTTAAAACAACCACCTTTCTTGATGAATTTAACAATTTCTGAATTTTGCTTTGGCCCCACTTCTTAGGAAAATACTAACCACATGGCATGGGAGGTGGCTGGGACTGCCCTCAGGGTATTATGCATTTTAGACCTGGGACAGGGACTCGGCTCCATGCTATAGGAACTACCAGAAAACCTGCAAAAACAATGAATTCAGGTTCAGACCTGCTGGCAGAAAAATGTGAATAAAGAGGAATATAAAATGACATCTAAAAAAGCTAGAACTACAAACTGTAATTAATATTGTATTTCAAAGAGATATAAGGGAGACCCTGGATCTATCTTAGGAGGCCAGGAAGGGAGAATTCTCTTCATTCGGCAGTGGTTGAAATGAAGACCTCACATAATGATGACTGATCATACATGGTACAGCCACACTTCACCAAACCTAAACAAATGAAGTATGGGCAGAATTCAATCTAACATGTCATTCATTCTATGTAAATGTCATTATGATAGCCAGTCCATTTGAAGACCTAATTTCCATCTCTGGCAGTCCGTACTTCATTTATCAATGCAGTAAATTCTGCTGAGCAAAGAAACTTATGGAAGTTGGCCTCCCAATGCTCTACTCCTTTTATATCCAATTAATATTATCAAATGTGGCCGGGCGCTGTGGCTCACGCCTGTAATCCTAGCTCTTGGGAGGCCGAGGCGGGCGGATTGCTCAAGGTCAGGAGTTCAAAACCAGCCTGAGCAAGAGTGAGACCCCGTCTCTACTATAAATAGAAAGAAATTAATTGGCCAACTGATATATATATAAAAAATTAGCCGGGCATGGTGGCGCATGCCTGTAGTCCCAGCTACCCGGGAGGCTGAGGCAGAAGGATCACTCGAGCCCAGGAGTTTGAGGTTGCTGTGAGCTAGGCTGACACCACGGCACTCACTCTAGCCTGGGCAACAAAGCGAGACTCTGTCTCAAAAAAAAAAAAAAAAAAAAATATTATCAAATGTAATCAGAGTATCTGGCACAAGGCCCAGTATATACCACATGCTCAGTAAATGCTGGCTGGTCTCTCTTCCCCTTTTGTCCAAATTAAATTTTTTTTCTTCCCTGATATTAAGATTAGAAGTAGGATAATTCCTCCAAAAATATAAGCATCTCTTATGTAAAATTCAAAGATACAAAGAATTTCAGATCTGGTAAACTCAAACAACAAACTATTTCTGTTAATAAAAAATGATTTAAAGAGGGAAATGGGGATGTTGGAACATGAAAAAAAGAGGTAGGTTGCAAAAAAAGGAGTGGAGGTTTCAGCAATGATCATTAGAAGAAGTTTTTTAAAAAGTAAGGGAAATCAATGAAGTGTTATTAAATAAGTATCTTTTTAAAAATAAGGAAGGCCAGGCGCGGTGGCTCAAGTCTATAATCCTAACATTCTGTGAGGCCAAGACGAGAGGATTGCTCAAGGTCAGGAGTTCAAAACCACCCTAAGCAAGAGCAAGAGCAAAAATAGAAAGAAATTAATTGGCCAACTAAAAAAAAAAAAATATATATATATATATATACACATACATATATATATATATAAAATACACACACACACACACACATATATATATATATATGTTAGCTGGGCATGGTGGCACATGCCTGTAGTCCCAGCTACTGTGGAGGCTGATGCAGGAGGATTGCTTTAGCCCAGGAGTCTGAGGTTGCTATGAGCTAGGCTGACGCCACGGCACTGTAGCCCAGGCAACAGAGTAACACTCTGTCTCAAAAAAATAAATAAATAAAAATAAAAATAAGGAAAGGGTAAACTTTCTTACCATTGTGGATTTCAGGAATATAAACCTCAAAATTTAGACTTACTGCCTATCAAAATTTATTCATTATCTATTATCCCCACCGCAGAACACAAGAGAGTTAGAATACTTTGAAATGCCAGTAGGATCCGGTACCTTCAGGTGAAGAGATGACAGCCGGGCTCAAAGGACATAGAGCAGACAGGGATTGTGGACCCTGTGAGAGCTCAAGTCTGCACCTGTCTGTCTCTACCACTGTGAGGCAAAATATTTTTGCTAAAAATGTATCCCTAAAATTAGGACTGCATAAAATACTGGAATCAGGTATGCTGCTAACAGTAGTATTTAAATGTTCTCAAAAGCAGAGAACACAAAGTTACATCAGTTTCTCCATGTTGGTGCTAGCATGTGAGGCAGGCACAGTCCCTGTGGACCACTCTGGGCACCTGCACGTGTCCTCGGTGACCAAGCGAAAGGAAGTGAGAGGAGCCAATCCCACCTCCATGGGACAAAGGGTGGTGTGTCTCCAAGAAG